CGCGAATCCTTCTCTCCATGGCAAAAACTCCCTCGGCAGCAAATCGTCCCTCGCGGCCGCATATTACTCGCGTCGCTCAGAGAAAAAATAACGCCGACGCCCAACAAGACTGCGAAGGAGGCTATGGTTATTCCATCTATATCATTAGGGAGGTGATAGGTAGACTTTTTTGTTGATCTCAGCTCATCCTACTGTAACAAATTTTACTTAAGAAAAAGACGCAAGCTTTCGAGAAATAACCGAACATTTTTGATCAAACGTATAGGGACTTGGGTTAAGACGGTTTAGAACTTAATATATAAGAAATCTATGAAAGCGCCTTCACCGAGTAAAAATAGATCTGCCAAACAATGCTGAGTGGAATTTAAAGATTGGACGCCATTGGTTACAATCAAGCACTGCATCTCATTCATTCTTTCATTCACGTGGTGAATCAGTCTTATAATGATCGGACCTGCGGATGCATTGTTGGTTTCAACAGGGTTCCACTCATCGTTGTTCGGCAGCTCTATTTTTACTCGGTGAAAGCGCTTTCATCTTTAGATGCTAGTATACCTGGAGAATCATCATAAGGCCACAGCAAGTAAATTTTATGGATGATATCCTCGGCAGATTTCAAATCCAATGCGAGCGGGCTAAAAAAAACAAGACGGGCCGAAAAAAACAAGGTTCCTACATTCTAAAATTTTGATTCAATTGTTGTACAAATGTTTTTGATTCAGTGGGAATATCGCATATCACTGCATCAAAGTAAGAAACAAAACATTAAATCAGAGCCTTTTCTTGTCTCCTCTTCATAGTTATCTGCCATACACCTTCCGGCATGGCAACAGACATCTTTGTCCATTTTCGGCATGTTGACCACTGTCAGAAGGCAACAAAATTTCTTGTTTTTTTACCCCCCAAAATCAGGCGAAAATTAATGCGCGCGCTGATGTCAACCATAAAAATTACTTGCTGTGGCCAAACGGTTCAACACAAACTAGAACCTATTCAAAACGCTTCAGTACCAAACGCTATCCCTCTGTGTTTCATACGGTAAGAACTTACTGTAGTAACTGCACAGTATATCAGTTGACCAGGAGACGTGCGTTACTCCATTATATCGTTGTTTAAGAGGTATGTAATGTTGACAGGCGTTACGTGAAGAGTTAACCCGCAGCACGCTGTAATAGCGCGTTATCAGTGACACCAGTCGTCTGGTCTTTGCTTCACTGATAAGACGCGTGCCCAGCTATGTGGACGCCTCGCTCCGCTCTCCTGTTATTATTCCGCGTAGCGGTGCTTTTTTGCACGGCGAACGGAGGATGCGAAGGTTTCGTACAGCTCGACAAGTTCGTGGAAGAAGTCATGGACTGTAAGGGCATCCCCGGGCTGGCCCTGGCCGTGGTGTACGGCGCGGACACCGAGACGCGGTGGTACGGGCTTCGGGACGTCCGCCACAATCTACCCGTGGACAGGCACACCCTCTTTCCGATAGGATCGCTCACCAAGGCGTTCACCAGCGCGCTTGTCGCACACGTTCTCGGCGACAGAGACAACGTCAGCTGGGACACTCCCGTCAGGAAGATTCTCGGGGATACCTTCGAGATGCCAGACAGGTTTCAAACCCATGACCTGTGTCTTCGTGACATTCTGGCCCACAAGGTCGGACTGGAAGAATACACGCCCTTCCAGCTGATGGGATTGAACCTAACCGGCGAACAGCTAGAAAGGTGAGCTTTTATGATTATATATCAGCCTGAAAACAAGCTCAGAAATCAAAATGTCTGCTCAACTCCTAAAAGTTGCAACCTTTCAAAACAAGAGCATGGCATTCTTTCCATGTATAAACTGGAGAAGATTAGAAGCAAAGAACTGGCATTGCCATCTATTACCACCATCGAGTGATTCCAACAAAAACCATGTACTGTATCGTTGTGTCACGTTTGTGTCAGTTGCAAGTTACAACAGAAGCGAAGTCTTTCACGAAAATATATGGGCCAGAACGCACTTATCTGTAGTACACATGCAAATTTTCTCCACTCTGTGGACATGGATGGCTGTGAAGTTTCAGTGTCAGGAACTCGACCGTTCTCTTCCCGCAGGGCGAAATTGAATTCGCTGGCGGATTTCCTGATCACGCCTCCGCTTACAGCGGGCTCAGGCCGCTAATGTAGACCATGTGTTGGACGGGAAACACCGGCAGATAGTCTTACACCTCGCCCTGCCGTCACTCAACGCGCCGGGCCGATTTGAAACGTTCCTCTCGCTGAGATCGGACTGTTGAAATGGGCCACGTTTTCACGGCTGTGTTTATTTTTCTTGGTGATTGGGGATGTTATATTAACCCCGTGGTCAAGCTTTGGTTGGAAATTTGCATTTAAGAACTGGCAAGGGAGTCCTGATAATACTAGAAAATACGAGAAAGAACTAGATCGCCACAGCATGCAAGTCGGCAGAACGTACTGCGCCTACGCATACCCCCGATTGTTGACGGTTTTCGTTGGATTTGGTCAAAGTTGCATCAGAATTTTTCCCGTCAGAGTTACACACGTTGTGTGTTACGCCGAAAGGTGGTTATATCGACTATACAGATATAGATACAGACGATATCTTTTCCGACACAACATCACTATACATGCACACAATACATTACGGGTTTGGCGCAGTACGTTCTGCCGACATGCTCATCATCCCTGGGCTCTGCACGGTATTTGCACTCACGTGACTGTGACGTAAGCATTGTCAGCCATGATGGAGGGTTACATCTGGAATGTGTAATTAAAAAAAAGTAAATGTTTCATTACATCAATGCCATACCTATTCTCAATTAACGTTCTCAACAATACTGTTACCTGAGAGAAAACTCCGATTGTATGAACTGACGAAAAGTAGTACATGGATGCTTGAGTAACTGTTTTTTGTGTGTATGCACGTGTGTTTGAGAACATTTCTGCTTTTTCCCCAAGTCGAGTGCGGCACTTCGACGAGCGGCTGCCGTTCCGCTCGGAGTTCTCCTACAGTAACCTTATGTACGGTCTGGCCGGTCACGTGCTCGAGCGTCTGACCAATGACACGTGGGCTGACGCCCTGCGCAAGCGCCTGACGGGTCCGCTGGGGATGGCGGACACGCACACGGCCCGGGCGGTGCTGGAGGAGGGGGAGGGCCGGGGGAACCTCGCACAGGGGTACCTGGTGGATCCGCTGCAGGGAGCTTCCCTGGCACTGGACCAAGAACAGTTACGGTAGGTTTCCTCAAGGTCACTTGGTTTTCTGTAGCCTTGAAATCTAGTCTCCACCAGACTCCTTTGCAGGCAAATTGGACCCTCTATGGCCGGCTATAAACTCCCCTGGCCAGTTACATTCCATTTTAGGCCGATTCCTACAATTTTAGCTGCCCAATCTCTTTCGTCAGTAAAAGACAAAGAGAATCGACAGCTGTAATAGGCCTGCCGGCTAAGACAATCTGCGGCATTAGTTTGAAGATGACGTCATTGTTGTTGCCCTCCCAACCTGCAGGGCGGTGACGGACGCGGGTGTGTCGGCAGGGGGCGTGGTTTCCACCACGGGGGACATGGCCAGGTGGATGCGGTTCCACCTGAAGGGCGGGAAGACTCCGGAAGGTATGACCATAGTTCCCTGTACGTGTGCTTCGATGGCTCCGGCAAATTACAGTAAAAAGCGATTTCTTTTTCTTCTGTAGAAAAAAAAAGATCTACAGCACCCCCTCATTTTTATTTGTACGTGCTTAATAGTCGCGAAAGTGTCAACTGTTGAAGATCAATAAATTTAAATTTCTGCCTAAGTGCCCAGGCATATTTGTTTCTCACTTTAATTTTGAACTTTCCACTTTTGGAGATTTCAAACTAGCAAAGCAGAATCCAGGCAAAATCCAAGCTATGACATAGGATGGTAGATTGGGAGATGCGAATTGCAAGACAGAGACCTGCATTATGTGTTTTGGCTTCGACAATGGGAAAAGGTAAATTTTCCTGGCCACGCATCAACATTCCACTTGTCAAAAGACGACTTTGCCTTTTTTTATCGGGCATTCCCTTTTTTTGCACAAGTAACAACCCAAAAGATACCAGTGCATAAAAGAAAACCCGATAAAAAACCTCTCACCACGCCAAAAATAAGCCAAAACCCAAACTTCTGCTTGGAGAGTAAAGAAGGAATGCCCCTTGTAAGCACCGCGCAATCGAGTCGCACACAGAGAACAGAGCATGCCGCGGGCTCGCCCCGGAGCGGCGCTCAAGTGGAAGGTCGCGGCAGATGGGAGCCGAAGTTTCCGGTAAGGCTTTGGTGATGCACGTCACACGTAAACACTCTGTCAGCCCGGCACCACAATTAACATGCCCGCAGGTTCAAACCACTAGAGTACAGACCCGATAAATGTGTGCTTAGGGCATAGCAATCATACTGACTGGGGCCAGATGTTGTAAGGTAGCAGTATCAGCGGCCGTGACTCGTACTAAGAGAGCAAGGAATCTGCATGCCTAGAGGTGCTAGTGTCACGGAAATACTAGTAGAAAGAAACCTATAGTGGGTGTCAATGGAAGACAGACGAAAAATATTCAAACTATGATTCAAACTAAACTGGTGGACGTCCCAACTATAATTCCAGCTCAGTAAAGAACAAGAAATAGACGTACATGCCTTCAAGTACCAGAGTTATTAACCAAGAATTAAAACTGAAAACTCGTATTTTCGCCAAGAACTATGATTGTAGAGTGGAACTCGTTGGCACCAAGCCCAGTCGTTTGGTGTAATATAGCTAGCTACCGCCGCGCCGCGTGCCTGCAAAGCCGATACAAAAGGAATCTGCATGCCTTTTTTCATAAGGCGTAGTGAAACCATTTTAATTCACCTTTAACAATATTGTAGCCGTCCGCTTTTATTCAACGTTAAGCGTTGTCGGGAAAATTTCAAGCGTAATTGGTCGAATTAATTCCACGTACGTACCATGTTATTTGTTGTCCTGAATAAGTGTTATTGAAAAATTGATTCTTCATGTATAGTGGAATGCCCAAATGCTGGAGCGAAAGATACCAGTGCAAGATACCAGTGCCAAGAAGAAAGACCTATAAAAAAAGCCTAAACACGCCAAAAATAAGCCAGAATCCAAACCTCTGCTTAAGGAGTAGGAGCGTCCTGCTTCCGCAGACTAGTTTTGCCAGACACGCCGTGAATTTGAAAAAAAATCCAAAGAAGTCGCACCCAAAGCCTTATTCAAGAACAACTTGCCTCTCTGCTGTTACGGTTACAGACACGTGTCCCTATTCACACGAGACTTTACGGATACGTGGCGTCAGCTGCAATTGTGCTGGAATAAAGTTCAACGTTTTGCAAAGATAAGAAATATTGTAGTGTACCTTTTTTTCTTATACTATCATGAAAGTTCATCTGTGTTGGTAGTTACATGTTTAAAGTTAGTCTAAGAACTTTTGGTCCAGCACAAAAAGTCTTAACCGCGACGTGGGCCGATATCGTCTTCCAGATACCTTTGACCTAGTGTTGACGTCACACTTTAAAGAAGCCACGTGGCAAGCCTCACTGGGTCAGTCTACTGAGGATGACCAGAGTGACTGGTCGAAAGCTCTAGGTGAGAGAATTTTTGTGTTGGACCACAAGTTCTAACTTTAAACAACTTTTTTTCTTGTTTGGTTGTTACGTAGGTGTGCGGCTGGTGAGGAAGAGGCTGCTGCAGGAGACGCATGCGCCTCAGATGGCCATCACATCCGGGACCTTCCCCCGCGAGGGCCGCTACCGCCCAGACTCGGCCGTGGACGACACTGTCCCCGCCTACAGCATGGGCTGGGTCACCGGGACATACAGGGGTGGGCAACTCTGGGCATTGTTTTTCCTCGTGTTTCTTCTTCTTCTCCCCCTTCTCCTGTCATTTCTTTAAATTGATTCAACTCCTTCATTTTTGGGCCAAATAACATGAAATGTGGCATGAAGGTTGAGGGGGCAAATTCATTTTTGTGATACAGGCTTTTAGAATAGTTTTATTTGAGCTTTTTGGCTGTGTTATAGAAAATGTGCAGTGTGTTACTATATTTCGGCATGAGTCATCAGAATGGCATGCAAAGCAAGCAACCAATAGGCATGCAGCTTTCCTCTATTCTTCTTGCTGATTTGCTGTCGGGTTTTGATTGGGTAAACTCAATTAACACCTGTACAAAGCCATGCCATAAATTGACAGTATGAACTGTTTTCCGCTGCCTTATTCCATTTCCTCGAGTTATGCTGTTTACAGACAGATAGACAGACGGACAGAGACACGCGTACAGCTCCCAAAACATAACCCTCTAACCTCCTTTACGATGTAGAAATGTGATATGGACCTCATAGCATCTGCTTGAATATCTATCCAGTCCATCCTTCACAGAAAGCTAAGACAGTCTGAAACAAACGCATCAAAAACGCCACCCAGCGGGAATCCCTCCATATACAAGAGACCAGACCCCGAGCATGTTAGACATCATATTTAGACACCACTAAATACATTCGTGGAGTGTTTAAGGCATTCATTGCAGTTTTTTAGGCTTGGAAACCCCGTTTTTCAAAGTCAATATTCTAGTCGCTTATCTACATTATATGATACTGAGTTGAAACAACATTATCCCAATGTATTTTGACCCTCTTGGAACAAAAATTCACAAAATTTCTGTTGGAAAACGGTTATTGGAAGGGCCTTGGGCTGATTTTTAGGGTACCTCCCAGAAAAAAAGAGGACTCATCTTGAGGCTTGTTTCTGCAGTTTTAAATGCCCCAAGTATGAAATACTGATTGAAATGTGCTAATGAGTAATGTGAAGCAGTTTACGTATGTGTCAAAAACATAAAGATTACCTAATTTTATAGCAGATTTAGCAAATTTACCAGATTTTTTCCAGTTTTGCTGCTTTGAAATCACATTGGATGAACCAGCTGTTCTGTTGTACTTATGCCTTCTTCTGTCCTGTTGTGTTCTCTAGGGTACAGGCGGCTGGTGCACGGAGGTACCCTGGCCTCCTACAACTCACTACTGACGCTGTTCCCGTCTGAAAACATCGGGATTTTCACAGCCAGCAATGGAGTCGCCCAGTTCCAGTCAGACGTGCACTGGTCCATTCATAACTACATCTCAGACTTCGGACTTGGTATGTAGTAGTCTTTACCAGGCTTAGGCCACACCAATTTAATTTGTTGGTTCGCAGATTCTCCTGCTTCATCTTTTTTCTGATTTGGAAAAAAACCAAACATTTCAGCCTCTAAATCAACTCCAAATTTTGGCCGCAACAGTTGAAGGAAGTCCCTTACATATAGCTTTTCCATCTATCAATGCATTTCTTTGATTAAAAGTTTTAAATTTATTGTTTGAATTACAAACCAGCCTGGTATGTTGACTTCATGGATCCTATCATAGTAGGACTTACGTAGAGACGAAGTTCAGGCCAGGGGAAGGGGGTTGTCCTGCCTCAGCAAGACATCGATGCACGGTCCTAACTCAATTATCTAAATTTGCATATGTATGTGTGTAGTGGCCTACAGTTGCACAAATCAAGCAAGCCGTGTAAACAACGCACCAAAGTATTGTCACTGTAAACATGACATCCTAGGCGAAGGTAATATTAAAAATAGTGAGACTGTACCTTCTTCTGACGGTGGCTGACTTTAAACTCCGTCTTGTTTCAGGAGAAATTCCATGGCTGAACTCCTCTACTATCTGTCAACAGAGACACAGAAGGCACGCCGGATCTCATGCCGGTAAGACTGTACTACTTGTAGCAATCCTTCCGTAGTTCTGTAGGTCGCATATGTCTTCGACATCCACAAAAGCAGACGTGGAAAGTTGAACTGTTCTTTTACTCAAGAAAATTGGACTCTTCTCGGAATTTTCGACTGACTGACTCAGTCTTCCTCAGCTATCTGACCCGGTCTACCAGGACATTAATTATGGGTTCACCACACCACGAAGTGGTGGTGAACCCATATTGCTTTTTCTGATGTTTCTTCTCCTTCTTCTTCTTCTCCTGCCATTTTTTAAATGGATTCAGCTTCTTCATTTTAGGGCCTAAGGTCCTGAAATTTGGTATGGAGGTACAGTGGGCAAATACCCCTAGGCGTGTTTTTAAATTTTTGTGATACAGGCTTTTAGAATGGTTTTATTTGAGTTTTTTTGGCTGTGTTATAGCAAATGTATTACTGTGTTAGTGTGCCGTGTTTACCACGTCTGGGCATGAGTCATCACAATGGAATGCAGGGCATCAACCAATAGGCATGCAGCTTTCCTCTATACTTCTTGCTGATTGGCTGTTGGGATTTAACTTGATGAACACCTGCACAGAGCATTTCCACCTGCACAGAGCATTTCTTGCTGATTGGCTGTTGGGATTTAACTTGATTAACACCTGCACAGAGCATTTCCATACTGACAGTATGTCTGTATTCAAGTGTTTTGGTAGGTATTTCAAGCTTTCCTGCTCCAGCATTGGAATGCGGGGCATGGACGTTTTTTTATTTATTTTGAAAATCAACAATTTGCATTATGCAATTAAAAATCCTAACCAATAAAGTAGGGAATAGCTATCCAACTGTTGTTTTAGTTGTATGTTACTTCATATTATAGTTATATCAATGTAAATCATTGTTTTCCCTTGTGTTTCTCATTCTTTCCCTGCCATGTCGTAAAATGTGGTGAACCCATCGCTGTATTTGCTCCAAAGCAAATATTGGCCTTTCTAGTTTACATAAAAATTTACATATGTACGTGTGACGTCAGCATTGGGTCAAAGTTATAAAAATTATTTATACTGACAAAATCTATAACCTTTGAATGTACCAAAGCACAGTTTGCCATTTTTATAGCCCTTCGTTAATGTACAGTACTGAATGATACGGTGCTAAAGATCTCATTCTTTTGTTTCTACCAGCATTTGGCTCAGATTCGGGTGGCAGTTCGCGCCGCTCAAGAGAGACGACTAGCGGAATCCACCAGACTGCAGCGACAGACACTGCCTCAGACCCCCTGCGGAAGTACGCCGGCGTCTACCACAGTCCCGCCCTCGGGAACTTCACCGTTCACCTGGACCCCGCCTCTTCTAGTCTGCGGTTCCGATACGGAATGTTCGGAACTGGGCATCTACAACCAGGCTTGTTACAAGAACACGTCATGAGGGTGATTTTTACTGGACCGTTGTGGTACATTCAGGGGTTCAAAATCATCTTCTCCAAAACCCCAGAGGGTTACGTGACTTCTTTACATGTTAATTCAGGCCAAGACAACAAACCAATCTTTCACAGATTAAGCACTGCCATTGAGGACAACACAGATCGCGAACTTGTTGCAAGTAGTGCACCACACGTTGGTAATATGGGGATATACACTAACATGTATATTTTGCTTTTCGCATACTTAGCACATTATGTAGTTTCTATATTCTGTTGTCACACGTTTGTCAGTGTTTTATTAGTGAAGTAGACTGTATGTACCATATAAGATATACAAAATTATACATTATCGTTAAAAAGAATTAAAATAAACATGTCTGTTTTGCTTTGTCATTTTCTTTGTCTTTCGTTCCATAAACAGTTTGAGCTGTGGAATAGAATAGGAACTGACTTGAATGTCTGTGTTTAATGTAATCTTAGATGGGAGGAAAATGGTGAGTTATAGTCAATGTTGAACTGCAAAAAAATACACCACACTCTTGTTTAGTCGAATGTCATGGTTTATTAATTGGTCCTTGGTTGTTAAGTAATGACAAGCCTACGCCAAAAAGCAGTTACTCAAGCA